GGGGGTTCAAGGCCCTTCCCCTTGCCCCCATGTCCAATATTATTTTGTTAACTCTCAGGATACAGAATGTTAGAGCTAGTTTTCTAATCATACAGAGGTGCCTCATGATCAAACATTTTATTAACACAAATCTCATTGTATTCATTCTGTTCAGTGACTGTGTACCCATGTGAACGTGAGATGGAAGATGAATTCATCTGACAAATATTTGTCAAGTACCTACAAGGCATTGTTCTTGGTGTGGGGACACAGCTGTAAACCAAACACAACAAAGACCCTGCCCTGCAGGAGGGAGACAGACAATAGAGAAAGAGGGTCATATGCCAGGTCATGACTAGTGTTTTGCTGATAGGGAGTGATGGGGATAAAGAAGGCTATGCCATTTCTATAGATTGGTCAAGGAAACCCTCTGTGAAAAGATGTTTGAGCAGAGCTTGGAGAAAATGAGAGTGTGCCAGGTGACCAGCTGGTGGAAGAGCAGTGCAGGAAGAAGACTAGGCGGGAAGAACTTGCCTGGTATGTTTGAGCAGCAGTGAGGAGGCCATGGTGGCTGGAGCTGAGTGGGTGGGGTGGGAGAGTGGAAGATGATGAGGCCAGAGAGGCCCTGTGGGCAGGTCTTGCAGAGCCTTGTAGGACCTTATAAGAACTCAGACTTTGGCTCTAAGAGAGAGACTGGGAGTCGCTAAGCATTTGGATGTAGGAACAATGCAATAGTTCTCAAGTGATAACAAGATCCCCCTGACTGCAGTGGAGAGTGGCCTCTAGGGGACCAAGGGCAGAGACAGAGGGACGAGTGGGCAGGGGACTGCAACAGTCCAGGCAAACAATGATGGAATGCAGACATACATGGCTCCCTTGGTCTATCCAGTTCTCTCTCTCTTTTTTTAAAGATCTTATTTATTTATTTGACAGAGAGAGACACAGCGAGAGAAGGAACACAAGCAGGGGGAGTGGGTGAGGGAGAAGCAGGCTTCCGGTGGAGCAGGGAGCCTGATGCAGCGCTCTATCCCAGAACCTGGGATCGTGACCTGAGCCGAAGGCAGTCGCTTAATGACTGAGCCACCCAGGCACCCCTATCCAGTTCTCTTGAATGAAACAAACACTTGTGCTTTGTTGGGAATGATTCTGTTCCTCAAGTGAGTAATTAAATGTCTTTCCTTTTCTGTTTTCTGATAATAAATGCAGTAATGTGTTCATTACAGAAAACTTAGAAGATAAAGAAAAGCATGAGAAAAATAAAGATTTCCAAATCCTACAACCTAAAGATCACAGAAAACCATTCTACTTTGAGCTCTTAATGTACATGATTGAATTGATTCGCTCATCAAAAGGTGAAGAGGGGACAGTAGCAGTGCCAGGCAGAGCCACCAAGCAGGTAAGGCTGTCCTATAGAACCACAACCTTCCCTTTCATTTCTTCTCTGTTAGGTACCACCCCCCACCCCCCAGGGGCCCTGGTGCCACCTTCCCTCTAGGTCCCTATCAAGTCACTCCCAGGAGAATATACAACTCATGAAACACACCATGAGAGAAGACAATCTTCCCCTCAGCAGCAGGGCTATCCCAGAGGTGAGATGAGGGAGGCACTTGCCTCTCACACAGAATCTAAGAGAAGCCAAAAAGCTTAAGAATCCTGATAAGTTGTATTTGAATACAATAGTTTAAAAAATCAAAATTAATGCCAAAAGCCTGTTATGAAGAAAGTATTAACATTTTCAAAAAACACAGGATCTGCCCCTGCACTTGCTTGATCCTGCCTCACCCCAGTTCCGGCCCCACTCAGCTGAAACCCAAGAGCTTTACATTCAGACCTAAATAGGAGTCATTCCTGATTTCAAGTTCAGACGTTTATCAGAATTTGATTTCCAGCTTCAAAAAGAAAAATATTTCTTTCAAATAGAGGATTGTGGTTCCTTATGTGCAAGAAAGCAACTTCCAGATCGATGTACGTGTTTTCTCATAAATGAGAGCTTTCCCTCTGCCTCTGGACACCTATGTGATGGTTTCAGGCTGTGTTTCACAGGAATTTCCCCCTATTTACTTGATAGTTTATTGAAGGGGTTAAGAAGTCTGTAGCTGAATAAACACACTGAATAATTCAGAGACTTAAGACTTAATATTCATGAAGATTTTTTACATTTTGACAACTCAGATCTAAAATATATAATAGTTATTTTTCTGATTCCTGGATAGATAATACATTTTAAAACTTTAGCTGGCATAAAATATGTGTGTGGGTTTTTAAATATATATATATATGCTGCAATCCTTAAAAGGAAGCCATTTACTTAATCTGATGCTGAAAAAAAAAAAGCATCTTACCATTATCCCACCATTGGAAAATCTGGCTGTGTTGGTCTCCAGGGTGGAGGGTCACTGGGGATGAGTCTATTGTGCTTCGATGGGTTGGGGTGAGGTTCAAGGGCTTTTCATAGGCAATTTTGTCCCAGGTTATTTATAGCTTGAATATCAACCAGGAGCATTAAATTAGAATTTATCAAGTGCATCTAATATCTACTCAAATAACTAACACTTAGTGAATATTACTTAATTGCCACTTACTTTACAGGTATCATCTCTGATCCTCTCAACAAATCTATGAGGTTGGGACTATTGTTTGTGCTCACTTCACTGACCAGGCTGCTGTTGGCCTCAGAGTGGTTAATTTTCTTACCTAAAATCACACAGCCAGTAAGTGGAATCACTAAGAGCTTAAAGGAAATGAAGTCCAGTTTGCATAAGATGCTCCTTGAGCCTTGGGGGTACTGGGGTAGGGAGGGGTAGGAAGGTGGGGGACGGTGAGAGGGCTGAGGATGGGACTCCAGGTCCCACACCCAGGTACTTACCAGACAGATTTCTTTTGGTAAGACTTCATTTGAAAGAAGGGATCTGCTGAAAAAAGAATAGCACATGTTCTATTCTTCGCAATGCCAGGATGTCACTGGATGCAGTGCTTTCTTACTCCACAATATCCTGCAGCCATTTCCTGATGTCAATATTCTTCTACAATATTACTTATTTGTTGCAAATATTGTGGCATATTTATTTTAAATATTTATTTATTTTTGAATTACAAAAGTCATATATGCTTATTATAACTAGTGGAAGGCCATAAAGATGTGTAAATAAAATTTTAAGACTCCCTCTCCAGTGTTGGGGAGGAAAAATTTTCCTCTGTCCTTCAAAGGTTCTTCTGGCTGGCCTAAGAATTAAATTGACATGAGACAGATTAACAGGAGAAAATCAAATTTAATTTTGTATTTCCAGAAACCCCACATGCATGAACAGTTCAAAGACAAAAGGTAAAATGAGGTCTGTAGGCCCTCCTAGGCTAAGGAATGGGATAGGGGCCTGGGGCTTCAAGGGAGATGAGGGCAAGTCACAGGGCAATATGAAGAAGGGCAGATGCTTGGTAATTAGATGTTTGCCCTGCCATACAGATGAGTCAGTCAGATAACATTTATCTCTGGTACTAACTCTTACTCTGTAAAAGATCCCCAATTTAGATTATTCTAGGTAGTTAAGGGAGGTGTAAAATTTTCTCTTGAGCCCACAGGGTCTCAGCTGCCTTTAGCTTAAAATAGACCACATGCCAAAGTGGCACATTTTGGGAAGACTTGTTCTGAACCCCTTCACTGGTAGGTGTTTGTTTTTTCCAACACCACCAAATAGTTCTCCATTTCTCAGTGGATACTGACTGGGTGCACTACCATTTAACTCAACTCTGACACTATCTGCCTGGAAATAGTGACAGATCCCCCAGGTAAAGCCTCAGTCCTATAAACCTGCACACATTTCCCTCTCACTTCAGATGCCAGTTGCAAGTCCAGATTATTACCTGTGCTTCTTACCAACTGGTTACAGATTGGAGGTTCCCTTGACCCCCTCTTTGGGTTTGATTAATTTGCTAGAGGCTCAGAGAAACATTTTACTTACTAGCTTACAGGTTTATCATAAAAGGATGTAACTCAGGAACAGCCAGATAGAAGAGATGTATTGGGCAAGGTAATGGGAAAGGGTGCAAAGCTCCCATGCTTTCTCCAAGGATGCCACTCTCCCAAACCTTCATGTGTTCACCAACCCTAAAGCTCTCAGAACCCTGTCCTTTTGTTTTGTTTTTTTTTAATAGAAATCTCAGCACAATGGCATGATTGATGAAATCATCGGCCATTGGTGATTAAATCAATATCTAGCCCCTTTCCCCTCCTCTAAGGCAGGGGAAGGGGCTGAAATTTCCAACCCTAAATCACACTGTTGGTTCCCCTCACACTGTTGCCAGGGGAATCCCTCTCTCTTGGTTAGCTAGGGGCTTTCCAAAAGTCACCTCACAAAGGTAGTGAAAGAGGGTTTTATGGCTCCATCATTTACGGAATTCCAAGTGTTTTAGGAGCTTTGTGCCAGGAAAGGGAGGAAGATCAAATATATATTTCTTATTATAAATCACAACGTCACCCCCCCCAATATCCCATTATTCCCATCCCCTTGGGGCAGCCAGTTAACATGCTGGTATGCTTTCTTCCATGCTTTTCTTCATTACAGGATGATTCTTTTAAAACTTTTTTTTTTAATAGTGAAAGCTTTCAAACACACATAAAAATACAGAGAATAGTATAATAAATCCCCACATACCCATCCTCCAGCTTCAGCAATGATCAACATATGGAGAATATTGCTTATTTGAATTTGAACGGAGTTTTTTGAAGCTAATCTCAGGCATCACGCCAATGAATTCAGAAATACTTCATTAAGGATATATAATTTTTACATGATCACCATGTCATTGTGACATCTACCAAAATCAATAATAATGCCCTAGAAAGCAGGCTACCGAATGGAGGTTGCACACTTCATCCTCCCCACCCCTTACCACTCTCTATCTGGAGGCATGCAGGCTGTTTCAGCTGTGCACTGTGCAGCCCGAGCTGTGCAGACACCTCATCAGTGACCCAGAGCAGCACCCCGGCAGGCCTGTGGCCCACCTTCTTCCTGAGGCTTCCCTACCTGGGTTGCTGCAGGGCCCTGAAGATCCAGTGGTTCTTCAGCACCATGCCAGCCACTCCAGGCCTTTGCATGCGGTGGCTGCTGAGGGAAGGCGAACAGTCTCCTGGATGGACTGGACTGCATCTGCACCTGTGGTGGTGAGAAGGAGCCAGAAACAGATGCGTGGGGTGAGGTGCAGGGCAGGGAGGATGGGGCACAGGGCTAGAGAAGGGGTGGTGCTCAGGGGCCCCATGCCCCTCACTCCTTCCTAAGGAGGAAGTGGCCGCGGTGTCCTGTGAAACCACAGACTGAGCACAGCCTCCAGGGACTCGGCAGACTGTCCCTGCTAGTGGTGCCCCAAGATCATCTGAGCCGGCCCACCTGTGCCCCCCTTTTCAGATGGGAACATTGGGGCAGCCACCCTACAGAGCGATCTGCAGTGCTCATGAGCAGCCACCACCCGGGCTTGGCAAACTCATTTCCTTCTTGACAGTCATCCCAATCGTGGGGAGGTCGAGGTTGCTCATTTCTGAGATGATCCAGGACCCGTCAATGCCTAAGCTATGTGGGTCAGGGGCTTCAGTGATAACAGCCAGCCTATTTCTTTCTCCTTGCAGAGAGCCTAGCAACTGAGCTGCCCTGAGCTGCTGAAGTCCAAGGACGCCCCATGCAGGGCCTCCTCATCCCTATCCCTCCTCAGCAGAACCCTGCCTCTTTCTTTCTCCCCGTGGACCTACTTGGTTTAGCTCCATCTCACCCAGTAGACTTGAAGTACGACAAGAGCAAGAATTTGCACCTTTGTTTTTTTGTTTGTTTGTAAAGATTTATTTATTTATTCAAGAGAGAGAAAGGGTGGAGGGATGCAGGGGAAGAGGGAGAGTCTTAAGTAGACTCCAAGCAGAGCAAGAGCCCGACTTGGGGCTGGATCTCATGACCTTGAGATCATGACCTGAGCCAAAACAGAGTTGGATGCTCAACTGACTGCACCACCCAGGTGCCCCCCCACCTAATTTTTTCCCCATCACTTTATCTCTAGCACTTAGCGCGGTTCCTGGCACATAGGAGACAGTCTGTACATATATGTGGAATGAATGAATGAGTGCATGAGCATGTCTTCTCTCTGGTGGAGTAACCATAGAGTGAGAGGTTCAAAGCCAGGACTCTTCCCCAACTTCATCCTCATTATGTCCTCATCTGCATCCCCCACCATCACTGGACTTTGGGGGTCAACAGTGGTGGAATTTCACCCAGTTCCGAGCATTATGGTGGCAGGAGTACTTTTGCTGAAGAAGCTCGTTTCTCCCCTTGGTGATACTGTACATTTTCCTGTCTAACTTCAAATTCTTTGGCTTTGTGTTTAAATAAACTCATTGTCTAATTAAACTAACCTGAGTGGATTCTGTTGTTGGCAACTGAGAACCTTAACTGCTACAGTCCATCAAGTCGTGGTACTTTATGTTCTTCTGCAGAGCAGTGGCATCTCCCCTTCTCCTGTCTCCAGACCGGGCCGAACCAGTAAGGGAAGCAAACCCATGACGGGTCATCTACCTCTTAATGGCTACCCCAAGCTACACAAAAACCTGGGTGACTTTCATGCCACTTCAACATGAAAACTTTTGTTCTTTACTTTTTTGGGTCAGGTCAGATGTGGGGGCAGACCGTTCTGGACTCTGAAGAATAGAAGGAGCATGGGGCTCAATTGTCCACTTGTCCAAGAACCCCCTTCCCTGCCGTTGTTTGTGTGGCAGGGGGAGGGGGCTTGCTATTTCAATTACAACAAGAGCAACCGTCCATCTAGTGAGCACTTCCCATGTAGCGGCTCCATACTTAGCATGTTACATGCATTATTTGAGGCAATCATCCTAAGAACCCTGTGGGGGAGGAATTGGGGGCTTGGGGATGTCTCATAGCTGGCAAATTCATTTCCTGGGGCTGCTATAATGAAGTACTACAAACCAGGTGGCTTAAACAACAGCTATTTATTCTATCACCATTCTGGAGACCAGAAGCCTGAGAGCAGGATGTCTGCAGGGTCATGATCCCTCTGAAGACACTGGAGAAGGATGTGTTCCAGGCCTCTCTCCTAGTTCCTGGAAGTTCTTTGGCTTGTGGCAGCATAAATCCAGTCTTCACATAGCATTCTCTCTATGTCCTGATTTCCCCTTTTTATAAGGACACCAGTCATAGTGGATTAGGGCCTACCCTAATGACCTCATCTGAACTTGCTGACCTCTGTAAAGACCCTATTTCCAAATAAAGCCCCATTCTGAGGTACTTGAGGTTAGGACTTCAACATATCTTTTTAGAGAGGGGGACACAATTTAACCCATAATAGCAGAGAAATGGCAGAATGTGGACCTAGCTGTTTGACCCAAAGCCTTTGTCCTTGAAGGAGAAAGATTGTAGAAGTTAAGAGCCCAGCCTCTTCAGCCAAGCTACAAGGGGTCAAACATCTGGGTCTGTCTTAATTCAGGGCTCCTAAGAAGCAGAGGGCAAGCGGCTTATTGGGTAAGGTGGAGGTGCATGAGAAAAGGCAGGAAAGGCAGCCAATAAACACTGAGCTATCAAGGCCACTACCAGCTTGGCTTGTGACTGGAGCTTAATTCCATGGGGATTCAGGGAGGTGGGGAGAATACTTTCCTGCAGTAACCTCCCCCAAGAAGAAAGGGAAAGGTGTTTACCCACCAACCCCCTGTTAGTCATTGGTTGAGGACTTCTGGCTTGCTCTGTGCACAGGCTTTCTTTGTGTAGCTTCCAAGAAAGCCCTTAGGCAAAGAGGTGCAGATACTGGCCCTTGGAAGTCAGCCAGCAGCACTGAACGTGGCAGCTCCCAGAGGTAAGGGTACGGCAGGTATCTTCTGCTACCCTGTGTATGTGGCTTTGAACAAGTTATTTAACCCTCTCTACCTGTCTTCTCCCTAAATGGGGTCGTTGTGAGGCTAAATGACTTAATACTTGCTGAGCCCTTAGACCAGAGAGCCTGGCATGTAATTCGTGCAGTTGAAACCTTTACTAGGATTAGTGTTGACTAAATTATACTGTCCTTTGCTGAAGAATGAGCGACTCAGACACTCATCTTTACAACACTCTCTGTTTCTCTTTGAACCCTAAAGTGTCTCCCTCATCCCTGCCCTGCCTGCCCTTCCACATTGGTCCTGAGTCTACTCCCAAGAAACCCACCGACCAAGTCTGCTGTCTTCGTCCTAAGACAATTATACAGAGACTGGGAGATGGCCATCAAAGAAGTACTCCCGTTTCCCATAAAATGTCTTTTAGGTTCTTGTGCAACATTTTGCTAAGTCCCCTCCATCAGCTTTCAGAATCTCGGGACTCGAAGTGGGAGGAATCCCTCTTTTTCAGCTCCCTACAATTGATGCAGGGGCTGCTAGGATGCCCCCTTATTGGTTGGGAGAGAGAGGTTAGTGTAAGAACAGGAGGATGGTCCATAAGGTAAGAGCTCCCAAACCACCCTCCTGACTTGGGCAGGAGAGTGGCAATCAGATGATGTGAAAATATGAACAACTGAAAGAGGATCGCTGGAGGGAGGAGGGAGGGGGTAGGTGACGGGCAGGAGTCCAAGTTCGTGGAGATATTTCCCAGGATGTACCACTCTTCAGTTCATCATTACATCGTCCCAGCTACAAGGCATTGTGGGAATGACTTGTTGAGAATCCAGGGGGTCCCCAGCCAGAGGGAGATCTCCCAGCCAGAATTCCCAGCTCTCCTAAGCAGATGCCCTTGACAAAGCCTTCACACTCTTGCCTCCCAGAAGACGTGAGCTGGAGGGACCTTTGGAGAGCAGGCTAATGGCCTCACTACAGATGAGGAAACGGGGGCACAGAGTACTCAAATAGCAGGGAGCGTTGAATAGAAGAGAACATAGACACAGCTGGTTCTATCACGCATAGCCTTGTAGTCTTGGGCAAATTTCTCAACCTTTCCAACCTATACCCTTAACAAATGAAGGTAATAAATACCTGTTAATATCTCCAGCCAAATACCGAACTCTCCTATTTCTACTTGAACGAGTTGGGTTTATTACTGATGGCAGCAAGGGAGAACCTACACCTTGGGGAACCATGTGCATCTCATTAAGAAGATGCTAGAGGATTTGGGCTTGAGTGGGGTGATTTGGGGACAGGTTTAAGGAAGCTGGCTTTGCTTTGGATCAGATGCTGTCGGGAAGTGGGGCAATTCTCTGATTGGGTATCTTAATTTCAACAATAAGAAAGGAACCCCAGGTGGGGGTTAAAGCTGTAATGGGTAAAGAGGCAGCAGTCTCTGAGATTGGCCAGGATAGGGGATGCTGGCTTGTTTGTGCGGCTTGTGCAATACTCACGTTTTATCCATGTTCAGACAGTGTCACAGAGGGTCATGTTTCTGTCTTGATCCACCACAAGCACAGGATGGCCTTGTCTGACGCTGATGTTCTGTGAAATTGTTTATGTTCAGCAGGAGAACACCAAAGGCCCACTGTGAGTGCCAGGTCGGCTCCCAGAAGTCTGGGGCTGCTTTTCTCTGTCTCATAGCAATCTCATAGAATTACGGTGAGGATGAAAATGACATGACATTTGGAAAATGTACAAGTGGCTGGCAGAGTGACCCCCTCAGCGAATGACAGCTCTGCTAACAGCAATAGTAATACTCTTTTTTTTTTTTAAGATTTTATTTATTTATTTGAGAGAGAATGAGATAGAGAGAGAGAGCATGAGAGGGGGTAGGGTCAGAGGGAGAAGCAGACTCCCTGCTGAGCAGGGAGCCCAATGCGGGACTCGATCCCAGGACCCTGGGATCATGACCTGAGCTGAAGGCAGTCGCTTAACCGACTGAGCCACCCAGGCGCCCAGCAATAGTAATACTGTTAATAAATATATTATTTAATTATTAATTCAGAACAGTGTAATAAAAAACAGATTTGGTAGTAATGAGAAGTAGTTCTGGATGTTGCTCTGTGATCTTGGGCAAGTCGCTTTACCTCTCTGAGCCACAGTTTCTTTCTGTGTAAAATAGGGAGATGATATCTGCCTCAAGAAATTCCTGAGTGTTGGGGCACCTGGGTGGCTCAGTT